ATCCCTCAGTTCGTCCTGTTCGATGATCAGCCACAAAGCCAGCGCAAGATGGTCGCTTGTACCCAGCCTCGACGTGTGGCTGCTATGTCAGTAGCGCAGCGTGTGGCTGCTGAGTTGGATGTCAAACTTGGAGAGGAAGTGGGTTACAGCATCCGTTTCGAAGATATGACGAGCCCCAAGACATGTCTTAAGTACATGACGGATGGTATGCTGTTGAGAGAAGCCATGCACGATCATAACCTCAACCGTTACAGCACTATTATTCTGGACGAGGCCCACGAAAGAACCATGGCCACTGATGTTCTCATGGGTCTTCTCAAAGAAGTCGTAGAACGTCGACCAGATTTGAAGATCATTATCATGTCTGCCACTCTGGATGCCCAAAAGTTCCAGCGCTACTTCAACGATGCTCCTCTTCTTGCGGTTCCCGGTCGTACTCACCCAGTCGAGATTTTCTATACTCCTGAGCCTGAGCAGGACTATGTGGAGGCCGCCATTCGCACTGTCTTGCAAATTCATGCTACAGAGGATGATGGTGATATACTTCTGTTCCTGACTGGTGAAGAAGAGATTGAGGATGCTGCGCGCAAAATCTCACTAGAGGCAGATGAGATGGTGAGAGAAGTCGATGCTGGCCCCTTGAAAGTCTATACACTGTACGGTAGTCTTCCTCCGCATATGCAACAACGCATCTTCGACCCGGCCCCACCACCGCGTCGTCCTGGAGGTCGTCCCGGTAGAAAGGTCATTGTTTCCACCAACATTGCGGAAACCTCGCTCACAATCGATGGTATCGTCTACGTCGTGGATCCTGGCTTCTCGAAGCAGAAGATCTACAACCCTCGTATTCGTGTCGAGTCCCTCCTAGTATCGCCTATCTCTAAAGCCTCTGCACAGCAAAGAGCCGGTCGTGCAGGTCGTACTCGTCCCGGAAAGTGTTTCCGTCTTTACACCGAGGGTGCTTTCAAGAAGGAACTGATTGACCAGACGTATCCGGAAATCTTACGGTCCAACCTTTCATCAACTGTGTTAGAATTGAAGAAGCTTGGAATTGATGACCTTGTTCACTTCGACTTGATGGACCCCCCGGCTCCGGAAACGCTTATGAGAGCTCTTGAAGAGCTTAATTACTTAGCTTGCCTTGATGACGATGGAAACCTAACCCAACTTGGACGTCTTGCCTCGGAATTTCCTCTTGATCCTGCAGTTGCGGTCATGCTGATCAGCTCGCCTGAGTTCTATTGTTCAAATGAAATCCTTTCTATCACAGCCTTGCTTTCAGTTCCTCAGGTGTTCGTGAGACCTGCGTCTCAACGAAAGCGAGCGGATGAGATGAAGAACCTTTTCTCCCACCCCGACGGTGACCATCTTACTCTCCTTAACGTCTACCATGCTTTCAAGGGCCAGGATGCACAAGAGAACCCCAAGCAGTGGTGCCATGACCATTTCCTTTCCCTACGATCCCTCCAGTCGGCAGATAATGTGCGCATGCAGCTCCTGCGGATCATGGAGCGCGAGGAGCTGGAAATGGTTTCGACGCCATTTGAGGACAAGAAGTACTATGAAAACATCCGACGTGCTCTCTGTGCCGGATTCTTCATGCAGGTTGCGAAGAAGGAATCTCAAGGCAAGAGCAAATACACGACTATTAAGGACAACCAGAACGTCCTCTTGCACCCGTCGACTGTTCTAAGCTATGACGCTGATTGGGTTGTGTACAATGAATTCGTGCTCACGACCAAGAACTACATCAGAACCGTCACAGCAGTCAAGCCTGAGTGGCTCATTGTAAGCTCACTTCCTTCTCCCCACCAATATATATCTTTAGCTAATGGTCTTTACAGGATATCGCACCCACCTATTATGATATCACGACCTTCCCCAAGGGCGAAATTCGCTCTGCATTGCTCCGTGCTGCAGAACGGTTGTCTCGTAAAGAGAAAATGCGTGGCGATTCCAGCCGGAAGCGTTAAATTATTATCCATTTTTTGTTTATAGATTTGTTATCATTTTCACCTCTTATGCTATCTTTAGTTATTGGGGCGTTGGCCTAACGAGATGCATCCTCTCCGTCTCTGAATCACCAGGATGTTGAGTTGCGTGAGGCTCTGTTGCGAAGCTTGAACACTTTCTATTCCGATGGGATGCAGTTAGACTTGAGACTACCCACAATGTCCTTAATGGTATAGAAAGGACAATTGCCGATATTCTTATGAGATTAAAAGAATGAGTTAATTCTTCGGGCACATAAAACCTTAATAAAAGCCATAATTCATACAGTCTACATGCGTAGGGTAAGAGGCTATAGAAGAGATCCAGACCAAACAAAGTCCGAAGATGAGAAAAATCTAGTTTTCGTCGTAATAATGTACAAACCTTGGAGGTATCAACATATATAGCAAGAGGATATGAGAATAGAGACCAAACGTACGCCCTTCAATAAATGCCTATGATGTACACAGTTTCCAACCCGATCCTTCTATGAACACAGTGCGCCAGGTGGATATTGGGAGGATATCACTCGTAGAGAGTTCAGTTTTCAACGTATCGAATGTTTACCGCGCTCGGCTCGACCACGCGCGAGTTCGTATGACGAAGCTTGTCTTTTAATTGTCCGAGATCCTGGGGACTGGACTGGGAATGGCTGAGTGCGGACTGTTTTGTCAAGTCAAAAACCATTCGTTTGAGCTGCGCAACCTGGTCCTTCAGAGCCATGATCTCTTTTTGGTGAGCCTTTGCTGTAGCCTCAGCATTATAGAATCTGTTGTTCTCCACGTCAAAGGTTTTCAGCAGGTTTTGCTGCCCGTCCTCTTCGGGTTTCTTATACTCCGCGGCGCGGCCAGCGAGCACAGCTGATAGAACTTCCTGGGAGTATGTCCCCACCAGCTTATGCCATTTCCTCGCAGAGCCTTCCTCCTCGGGCAGAGTAAGGTCGTTAAGCTGTTCTCCGACCGTGTTCACGAAGGCACAAGATCTCTCCCACAGCGGCTTGTCCTTAGTTGCTCTAATCGTTGACGAATCCTCAGCTACGTGCCACCGGCGGAAGTGAGGATCAAATGAGAATTTGACGTCTGCTTGTTTTTGTGCAGACCTCCAATCAAATCCATTCTCAACCGCGGCTACGATAATGGCCTCGGAGACATCGTGTCTGTCGCACGCATCACACAGATGTACCATCAATACTACCAACCTTTCGAGAAGGTGTGACTCGTGTTCCGTGGATGATGCCATGAAAGCTAAAGATCTTTTGATGGTTTCCACCCCTTTCTTCCAATCACGGCGAATACCGTAAAATTTCAAATAGGCATAAAGAGTTGCAAAATCGTCCATGTACCCTGCCGCTCTTGCGGCTTGCTGATAGGCATCGGCTCGGTCGGGTTGATCGAAGCGCAGGCAAGCTATGATTAATGCAGAGTACATAACCGAATTGGTCATATTGCTGGGAGGAATTGAGATCTCGACGCCATTGATCACCGTCCGCTTAAAATATCCCATGGTGGATAAGTCTACCGGGTAGCTCTCACCACACAGCATTTCCAGAAACAAGTCGAATGCTTTGAGATTTTTGGATTTGCGGTAAAAGGATATTATTGAGAGAATAAAGGTGGAATTTAATGGAAATTTGTTCGGCAATACTGTCTTTAAGACCAGATCACCTAGGTCATTTTGACGAGATTTGGTGAACGTATAAAGCATCATCCCCAGGCAAAATGGTCGGTCGGGATCAGTAGCTTGCAGCAGGTTGCTGGACAGCCTCAAAAGAAGCTCTTGAAGAGACATAGTCCCTTCGAGGTATAGATCTGTGTCGCGACGAGCCTCCTTGTTGAGCTTTGCATTCTCCCAAGCCATCTCCTTGATGTTGCGTACACGGAGATCCTTTGCCAAATCATCAATATTCATGTCTCTTTTTGTCTTCAGCTCCTGTAAACGTATTCGGATTTGATTCAATTCATGTAGGAGCTCCGCTACATTCAATTTGGGCACTGAACTATCGGAAATGTATTTCATCCGAAGTCCCATGTAAGAGTGCGCAATTGCCGGGCGTAGCAAAAGTCGTATAGCCAACTGTTTCACTGCAAGCTTCCGTATAACCTTCTGGCGGACTATGTCATATGACAGCCACTCGGGGTAAGCATCATCTTCAAAACTGAAGCCAAACTCCTCCTGTATATCGTTCTGCACCGGGTCATCACTTTCGGCGACCAGATCCTCTAGGGCTTTCCCGTCATATTCATCCCCCTTATCGAGATAAGTTTGAATCCCGTCCTCAATTCGAGCCTCATAATTATCTTGCGAGCGAACGTCGGCGGCGAGTGAAGGTATCGGTACACTCCTTGTAGTATTTTGGATTCCCACTGGTGATGATCTGGCAGAGGTGCTGTATTGTCGGCTCGTCAATACGCCATTGAATAATGACCTCCGCTTCCGCCGTGCTGCAATAGTCGCCAAAAGGCGTTGTTCCTCGTCCACTAATTCGTTGACTTCTTCCTTGACAGCTGCGATCTTCTCCTGCCATTCATGGCGTCGTTGGTCTTTGGCTTGGGCATCAGCTAGAGCTGCAGCCGCAAAGATACTTGTGTATAGCGCTGTGACCGAGTTTCCAATTCGTAACCGCCGTTTACTGGCTGCTGATGCCGCCCTTGACGTTAGTCCGGGAGTCGCTGTGCTTAGACAAGAAACGCAATGACAAGACGAGCGCGCCGAGGCGGCCCGGGACCAAAGGCTCTGCATTACCGCAACATTTCCTGTACAGTCGATTCCAATGATAAGAATGGCGATAACGCGGGGGTCGGCAGCTTGCCCTTAGGGGCTCAATTGCGTCTGTCGGGACAAGGGAGTGTGTACCGCAGAAACAGAAAAGTGGTTCATGTGCCGTCGGACAAAAAAGTCATAAGTTCGGCGGAGCGGATGCAAACACTGCAAACAGCCTCTCTACTGCACGGGCAGTTCGTTGTCCGAACTGGAATCCAGGTATTAGTACTCATAGAAAAGGCCACATCAACAAGGTTTAAATTACTCATTACTGCCTGTATACTGAATCAGTTCTGATCATTTCACTCAGTACGCAATTCCGAGGCTGTGTCATTTGAAAATGCTCGGCCACTCCGTGTCTCTTGCTACCGTTCTGCTTGCCCTGAGCGGCAGCTTCGCGAACGCTCATGGGTCTCACTCGAATGAACAGAATCCTTCTTCGGACTGGGCTTCTCGGCACATGCAAGGTGCGTTATTGAGTCCAATTGCTCCTGAGAAAGTTAGAAGCACCTTTCTAATATCCGTACATGACAGAGGAGCACCACATTGATTCCTTTGATCCTGCATCCTTCTTCACTTTCCACGACTATGATAACTCAGGGGCATGGACAGCCGATGAGGTACGGAAGACTTATGGTCTCGACGATGAGTCAAATGCAGGTGTCAGTGAAGAGCGCAAGCAGCAGGCTGTCCGGGAAGTATTTGGGCTATTTGACCCTGGGAACTCTGGATTCGTTACTCGAGATAACTGGATGCGTCTGATTTCCGAGGGCAAGCGTCTGCCTGATTTCGGGTTTGGACCTGGCCACCATGGCGACATTGAATATGAATATGAGATTCATCATTTCGAGAAGTATCATGGAGATGATGCCAAGGAGGAAGACCTCACTCATCCAGAAGATATTGAGCATTTCCGGAGGCATGATGAGGAAGACGACGCTGCTTATCGGCTTGAGCAGCTTGAGAGGATGCAGATCGTGGAAAGGAACATACCACAGAAGTTCCTCAAACATGTTTAGAACGTGTATATGTAATACGTTATGCCATTCTGTACATATAATGTTCGAAATGTTTACCTACCACCTACCATTGCAGGCGCTTCCGAGTAGCTTACTGTCTGTCCCGTTTTCTCTCTGCTGGCGATAGTGTTACCGCGCCTGGTCACCTCGAGCAGCAGCCCGTTTGCGTCCAAGTGGTCGTCGAAAGTAATGTGGAAGATTTGATAGTTCGTATTATATTTGCTATGGACGAGTATCATGCATTATTTTCAAAGTGTAATTGGTCCAGAAAATGTATTCACGGATCCAGCTGCCTCTTCAGCAAGTTTTGTATGAATTGACAAGGAAAGCGCGTCATACAAGTCGTAAGTCACTTAGAACGCCAATTTTACCGACTTAATTGAATGGAACACGAGAAGTAATGCGAGGCTGGAACAACGGGGAGAAAAGAAAACGAAAAGTGTATCCCTATAAGTGCATCTTCCCAAAAAAATAAAAGAAAGAAAAAGAAAAAGAAACAAGGGCAAAGAAAAAAGGGAAAAAGGACAAAAGTAACCCTAGACTTGGTATATCATCCCTCGGACACTCTAAGTATAAGCTCTTTATATGTGACTGAAACAACGCCTGGGATAACTCCCCACGCTGACTTGTTCCGGTTCTGCTCTATGTTTTCTGATCGTGAGCGGGCCAGTGATGGCCCTGTGTCTGTCGGACCGCAGAGGCATGCGGCTTACCATTTTGGTCCTCGTCAGACTGACTGGAACTATCATCCCCAACAGCGCCCGAGGTTGATGCACTGCGCAAGCGCTGGGCACGATCTTGGAGTACTTGGGCCTCCGCCGCTGCCCTCTGCGCTCGTATTTGCTTGCGCCACATACTTGCGTAGCGGCCTTTCATGGCTAGTAGTTGATCGTGGGTGCCACTCTCCGCGACCTTGCCCTCATGTAAGACTAGGATGCGATCTGCAGTCGTAATGGTGCTTAGTCGATGAGCGATTACAAGCATGGTACGGCCACGTGAAAGAGTGGACAAAGCTCCCTGGATATGCTCCTCGGTCTCTGTGTCCAACGCGGCTGTAGCTTCATCCAAAAGAATGATGCGCGGGTTTTTCAAGATAGTACGAGCAATAGCCACTCGTTGTTTCTCTCCTCCACTGAGTCGTAGACCACGTTCACCGACCTTGGTGTTATATTTATCAGGGAAGGACATGATCTTGTCGTGTATACTGGCAGCTTTGCAAGCCTCGTAGACGTCTTCGTCTGTCGCATTCTGGTTGGCATATTTCAGGTTGTACATTAACGTCTCATTGAAGAGGACAGTATCCTGCGGAACAACGCCAATGTGCTTCCGGAGAGAATCGATTGTGGTGTTTTTCACGTCGTGCCCGTCGACTAAGATACGCCCCCATTCGGAATTATAGAAACGGAAGAGTAAACGGAAAACGGTGGATTTGCCACCACCAGATTCACCAACCAAGGCTGTCGTCGTTCCCGGCTCGCAGCGGAAAGTAAGGCCATTCAGGGCAGGTTTGCGGCTATCATATGAAAATTTGACGTTCTCAAAGGCAATATCACCTTTGCAAACCGGTAGAGGAGTAGAACTAGGCATATCGACAACTGTCGGTTGTTCTCGGAAAAGCTCTAGCAACCGCTCCGAGTTGATCAATGCCGATTGGATGGATCGGTAGAAGGTGCCGAAAAAGTTCAGAGGGCCCTGGAGTTGCGCCATATAAGTGAGAAGCGACACGAATTCACCAACGTCCCGCTGTCCCAGTGAGACCTGATAAGCAGCAATAAAACAGGCAATTAGTAGTCCAAGCATAAAAACTGTATTCTGAGAGGTATTCATCAGATTCAAAGAAAACAAAACATGGTATTCAGCCCGTTGGAAATCCGATACTGCTCCTCGGTACCTGTCGAATTCGTAGTCCTCGGCATTAAAGTACTTCACTGTTTCATAAGATACCATGGAGTCATTCCTAAAGATTACCGGGTTAGCAAATCCGATGTAGCGGAACATAAACACCATAAAACGTACTTGACTGCATCTTCTTGTCTTGAGGCATTGACCATTTGCCGCCGGATCTCTGCTCTCCATTGTGCCATGCGGACAGTGACATAAAGGTAACAGAAAGTGACAATGGTGACGACCAAAGCGTAGTAAGCATCAAGCGCAATGAGGAAGTAGACAATGGCCACACAAAGATCGACTAACATGGGCACGACCTGAAAAGTGACTTGTTCGAGGAAGGTATTGATAGAGCTACCTTTGCTCAGCGCAGACAATACTTCACCGGTCTTCTTACCCAGGTGGAAATCAAGGCTAAGACTGTGCACATGCTCGAAAGCCGCAGTCGAAAGCTCCATGTAAGAATATTGACTCACGGGAATCCAAAGACTGGAACGCAATGAGCCGATTAGGCCCTGGTTACCCTGCAACCACCGGAACAAGATATACAAACAGATATCAAACCACGGTACATTAAAGTCGTCGCCCGTTTTGGTCAATTTGCGGGTGATAACTCCAACTTGGAGAGGCACCAGGACATTGACAACGCGTTGCAAAACAATCAGGATGAAGCATATAACCACCACGATCTGCAGTCGACGGGACTTCGACGGCCAGAGATACGGAAAAAATAACGAGTATCCGCTAAGATACTCCCACCAGCTAGTAGATGGAACTGTAGTTGGTCGAACCCAGGCATCAGCAGGCTTAGAAGGCTGCTGGTTAGCTGGAGTTGAACCATATGCGTTTCCATTCTCTGCATGAGAAGGGTCCAGTAACCCTGTTGTTTCAGAAGCGCCATTGGCATATGCTCTTGGTACTTTTCTGGAGCTTGAATGCATCCTAATGGAACTGAACACGTAAAGTGCGACCAATGTACTGAGGATCAGCACTCTAACGGAGTTACAGGTAAGCTCCGTGATTTCCCAAGAAGTCACGCCTTTCTGCAAACGACCCCCAGTCGGATCTCCTACAACTGGCTCATGATGGTTGCCAGCGTTGATCGAGGAGGAAATTCCCAATATAGCCAACTCAATGGGCACTGCTACCAACCAAGGGACAAACTGCGCAAATGTCGGAGACGGATCTGTATCTAATAAAGAGACGAGGATAATCGAATAGACAAAGAACGAACCCACAACGTAGATCTATAAAGCATTAAATGCTGCACTGATTATATTCCCCAATTTTTCACGGCACTTACCACAACGGACTGTCCACACCACCATTGCTCCGATCTAGAGACTATAACATGTGCCACATTGACAGCTGCATCCCCAAGAATGGTCAAAAGTATACCCACAGATAACCACCTGAACAAAGATCTCGTATTCTGAGAGAATTTCTGGGGATTTTTCATGACTGCCATCGTACTTCTTGACCGTTTGGGGAGTGGTCTCCCGCCTGGACCTGTCTGCGCCGCGGTAGGAGAATTGTTGGCATTTTTGGCGGCAAGGACAGAATTGGCAATGAAAGCCGATATGAAGACCAGGAGGAGGAGTATTGGATATCCAGTGCGAAGGTACTCCAACAATTGGCGAGTTGTGTGGTGAGAGTCCATCTTGAATAGTCCTCCAACAAGGGTCCAAAACAAAGCTCAGATCAAACCACCATAGGATATTTCCATGACACAACAATCGCACCTTCCCGTAAAGCCTGAGTGCAGCAAGGAATTGATGAAGTTGGACTCGACTCGGAAACGACTGAGTAGTGAACAGCAGACCTGAATCAGTCAATCGAAGGGTCGGATTTGTAGTATTGCTGAAAGGGATCGGCAGACACGTGGGGCGATATTTCACTCGTCTTGCTCGTTTGTTTATATTCTTCTTTTCGGGGTCTTCTTGAGGCAGGTGAGCAAGAGGGGAAGAGGCAAAATAATGAAGTCTCTAAAAGTTTTTTTTGGAACTAATTACAAGAGAAGAGTATGCGTGGATTGACTAAAAGGTTATATGGGGAACCAAAGTAAAAACCGGACGGAAAATTGAAACCCCAAGAATAACGGGAAAGAATTAAAGCGTATAGCAGGAGAAGAAGAAGAGAAGACCGGAAGGGACCGAGATGAGTACGAGAGGAGGAAAGGGGAGAGAAAGAAAAAAGAAAGAGAGAAGAGAGAAGAGAGAGGAGAGAAAAGAGAAAACAGAAAAGATACACGAGAGGAAATGATCGTTGGAAAGATACAAATAGTACTCGGACGGTCGTGGAAGAGTGACGGTGTGCAATGCGAATCTGAAGTCGAGAACTACCCAGAGTAGACTAGTTGGACCCAGAGTCCCAGAAAGCAGCTGAGCTTGGGTGGCTCCGGAGGCAAATTTGGGGGAAATGGCAAAGAGGCAAGGGAAAATCTAAAACAAATAAATAACAATAATAATTAATGGAGAAATAGGATAAGAAGAACCGAGGAACGAAAATTTCCCAAGGAATATCAAAACCTTCTGAACTAGCGGGCCATATTCCTTCTACTCTTTGAATGATTTTTGATGCGAATCGGAGGTTTTTTTTGCTTAATGTTCTTCTTTTCTTTTTCCTTATATGTACTTTGATATCATCTTAGTACCTACAGCGATACCTTACTGCGACGGAAAGAGATTGAACTAGTACAGAGTAGTACGTAGCCGTTTTCATCATAATTCCAACCCAGGTTATTTTCGGAACCGCGTCAATATTGACATACTGACATACTTTCCCTCCTGGTCACTGCCCATGGGCTGCCTGTGCTGAATCTGAGATGTTCGTGCCCAATGGTAACAGGGATTGGAATGAATGTTGGAAGGATTGGTTAAATGCATGAAGAAAAAAAGAAAAGAAAGGAAACTGAAAAATAAATAATAAACGATAATTTCCATGCATGATATCGCTGATCCCTCCTGAGCGGAGAAAGTGCCTGGGGGAAAAGTATTACACGGAGACCGACCACAAGCGAGAACTGAGATGCTGAAATATAAACTTTTGGGAGCTCAACTGTTAGGTGATTTTCTAAGAACATTTTAATGCTGCGGACATCCTTCTAGATAGTTATTGTGTAACGTGATATGTATGAATATGTACAAGGAGCCATCCCTCGAGGGGATGTTGCGGTAAGATTGAAGATT